TTCCCACTACACTACCCTTTCAATTGTCTATGAAATGAAAAGGAAAATTGAGCAGATAAGTGTGCTACCATCTAACCCATTCAACTAAAAAGCTTGCACATACGGTCATTTCGACGGTAGAAAATCTTAGACTCAACCACTCAACGTGAGTTGGCCGCCAAAGTAAATAAGCTGGCGTGGTTCGTCTTCGAGTGGGAGCTGAGATATACTGTTCTTTATTCATCGTAATCGGCAGAAATTCTTTTCTTCGGTGACTTACCAATGGTGTTGTACTACGAATATGTATCCAATGATGCTGAGTAATACTGCAAATTTGAACCCTAAATAAGAATCGAATCTGTACATCACCCTCTTCAAGGGCGCGTGTTAACTGGTTGCGCTATGAGGCTCTTGTCTTGCTAAGTTCTCTTTAGGCGATGCGTGGTAACAATCGGCCAGTAATCAACCGTCAGCGGTTTCGCTTGGTTAACACATATTGACACTGAACCCTGTTACGCTTACGGATTATACAAATAGATAATCAGCCATAACTCTTTTTATTTTGCTGCCTCATTGTGATACTGTGCTGTTGGAAATTTGTATGAAATAATACCTTTCGTTTCAAGTGCTTTCTTGAGACCACGCTCAAATTTCATATGACTGATAATTATTTTTTGAGCCACTCATGTGGTCTGTTGTAGGGCAACTTACAGAGCCCGATAAGCGTGTTTTGATCAAAACAGTCTCAACAGTCGCTCAGTACCCTTTAAGGTTGAAACACGTGTATCAAACTCTATAAGTTACCTTGTAATAAGCCACATACGTCGCTCAAAAGATGATTATCAAAGAATATTGGCATTTGAGCGTGGTCTGAAGAAAACACTCGAAGCGAAAGGTATGATATATTTTACGATGCCACCAAGGAACAATCGAGTATGCAACACTTTCCAATCAAGGATAATTTCGCCTGATGGATCGAGTAAAATGCTCGCCTTTGCCTACTCTTAGTAAGAGAGACTGAACTACCCAGAGAGCGATTGGCAAAAGATAAAGGGTACCACCCAACTGATGAGACTGTCAAGGTCGAAACACGTGTATCGGGCTCTATGAGTTGTTGCACAACAGACCACATACGTGGCTCAAAAAATGATTACCACGCGTATATACAATAATGTTTTGTATAACGCTCAACATCCTTGCATATATAACTTTTCATTCGTCGATTTCACAATGTTTTCTATCTTTTCGGTCTGTTTGGAGAGGGTGAAGAGAGCAATTAACTCAGCAGTGATATCTATAATACGAGCTAATTTGATTGGGCTTGATGGGACACGACTTCGAGGAACTTGAAACTAGCTGTCACAGTAAGTCTTAGTGCTTCGATATATTTCTTACATGAGTGCTCTACTGGAACGATCATCACGTAATCGGTGCGAATACTTTCGGATCAGAGGATGATATATAAAAATGCGCATCTTTTCAGTACATTTTCTCTCTTACCTTGTTCTTCAAATTATGATTGGTGTAAGGGAACTTACATGGTTCGTCTACAGTCTGATCACTCAAACCTCAACGGCTCTAAGTATCATTGTCTTACTAATCTTAATTGCTGTACAGGTTCGTTGTCATTTCTCTACTTTCTCTCTGATATCATTTTTTCATTCAATAAGGTAAACGACTGGAAAAAAAACCATCTATGGTTATTAAGATTAATAAATTCGTATTCCATAGAATTTCGTCCAATTTTATACAATTCTGAACACTTGAGTCGTGACTGACGATCATGTGAGTCAATGTAAACATCAATCAGATTTTGAAGTAACATCAGATGTTTTTTTTTTTGGGACTTCCCACACATCTTTTTTTTTACAAGATTCACCAGTGTCTCTAGCTCCGTTCACGCTCTGCATTTTTTGTCTTTTGAAATATTTCTAAAAAAGTTATCATTTTGAGGTATAGTTCCTCTTTACACTGCTCAGATTTCAAGTATCTAACCTATTCATATGTTTCGCTCAACATTTCTTTTGAATTTACATCGTCTGTGGTTCTGCTGATGAGTTAGTGAAATTTAGGTAACTGCCATTTATGCGGCAGTGGCACTACGTGAAAAATTTGTGGATCTCAGCGACAAGCCATTTTCAGTTTCGCCATTTCAATGGGTAACAAGTATCTATGTCACCTTGAACCTGCTTTGGTTATGGAGATGCTTGACTGAGTAGATTACGGAAATTAACTTCACCCTTTTGAGGCCTTGAAGAAAACGAAACCGCCATAACATCAGTCATTAATTTATTATGATGCATCGTATTCAATAAAATCTGCTTAGCGATTCTTCACGCAACATTGCATTACGCATTCGCTAATGGATTAGTGTAGAATAATTTTCGGTAACACTTAGAACATCTTGGAATTGTGCGCAATACCTTCCTTGTGTGGGTTTCGACCAGTCGAATTGCAAACCTCATCATACAAAATCTAAAATTTTCTGATTGGTGAATACTGCTTGCCGAACAGGGAAAACAGAATGATACGATTTAGTTCAAAGATCTCCTTCAAGATCGAGAAGAAAAAAGCGCTCTCGTAATCGACGGAGACATTCACAACATACCTCTCTTGGATTGAAGCAAAGGGCGGATGAGAGCATCAGAGTAAATCCTTTTTAATGTATTCTATGGAAGCAAGAGTTGGTCGTTTTTCAAAAAATTTGTGAGTTGCTGTGATTATCGTGTATATTACAGAGGATAAAATTAAATGAGGAATATCTTTACAAATTTAAAGAAGAGAGGAAAATGCGTAAAATGGCAGAGCAATTGAAAGAGTAAGAACACACATGCCGGATTTCTTTAAGCCACTTTCAAATGGTAATCAATTTTCAGAAAAAGAAGCCGCGAAAACACACAGCTCACTGATGGTGCGGTTCAAAATGCTGACCACGTTGCTAGTGAACCAAATGTGCAGAGTCAGAAAATTGCCAACACTATTAGTGAGCTAACTTTGAGGAAATCAAAAAGCACCGGAAACATTGACACGGATGTTAAAAGTAGCAGTGTTGAAAAATCTTTGTATGGAAATATTTCATAGCAGAAGCTTACTCTTCTTAGATGTTAAACAAAAGAAAAATGCTATCTCCAGGTAGCAACGTTAACATCCCCTCACCTATCAACTGCCAAAGAGCTATCTGAATAAGACAAGCAAACCGAGGTGAACAATTTTTGAATATAATTCAAATTAGTGGTTTTCTTTCTTAAGAATGAAGCGTTAAAATAGAATAATTAAAATTTATTCGAAATAATTTATAACCAGTATAAGATGGATGTTCAGTATTTTCTAAAACAAACATTAAACTGTCATCTCATGTCTAAGACAAATCAATCGTCTCATCCGGCTGCTATAGATAAATTGGTACCAGAATTCTCTGAGAATATAGAAGCGCTGGGTTCTTACATCAATGAAGTGCCACTTGTCATGGTATAATCCAGAATTCAATCACCTCCTTGACAAGGATGGATGCAAGCTCATTCTCCAGCGATTAACAAGTTGATGATGATTTATCCTTTGCTTTCTCTAACAGATCCTACAAAGAACATCAACTTTGATACATAGTATATAGTGAGACCATAGCACTGAACCATCTACTATTGTGCCTCGTCTAAGACTTGGGGTTTCAAAAACACTTCAGGTATAAACTTATCATTGCAATCTGAGAATTCATCTGGGTTCGCTTATAACTCAGCTGATCAAAATAAATAAGCAAAATGTCAAAATAAATAAGCAAAATAGTCTAGAAACCATGAGAGTTTGATCCGTATTTTTATAATGAATAAATGCAATATCTCTAAGAATTAAATTACGCTTGATCGATCAGTTGGGATAATATTTTAGCGGCCAAGAATTTGTGTAGTTTCAGCTTTGCTTGCGTTAGATTTTTTTGCTACTTCTTGTCTGCTTTTCTTCGTGCTTGCAAATTACAGATCTTATTTCAGGTGGTTATTCGGTCATTCGGTAATCGATTTCAAGTGTAAACCTTGTAGCTAGCAAAATAAAGTTGTTTGTTTGAATACTACTCTATTATATCATGTTAAGGTCTGAACAATATGTTCTTGAAAGAGTGACTTCATTTAAGCGCTGACAAAATAGGCAGACTTCAAACGATCAAAGTTTCTGTTTCACAGCCGAACTCGATTAATGAAAAAAGACTGGATGAAATCTGTTATCTTGTCTTACGATTGCTTTCTGAGCAAATTTGTCATGTGGTCTGTTAAAGGGCTCTTGTACAGCCCGATAGACGTGTTTCGACCTTGACAGGCTTGTCGGTCGGGCAGAGCCTTTCGGCTTAGTCAATCCTCTGTGGGTGTTCCAGTCCCCACACTGAGAGTAGGCGACGACGAACAATTTACAGTGCACTGCTGTCAAGTGAAAATCACTGGAACAGCAGTTCTGTACACTCAGCTGCTCTTGGCTGGTATTTTGAATTACAAAAAAAAAAATTCGATAGCAATTATGAGATATGCTGAAATTTGAACGTCGTCTTTAGAAAACACTCAAAAATTCAATATGTATCTATAATTTGAGATACTGCGTCACGTGAGAATTGTATCTTTACTTGTGACGCTACAGTTTTTTTATCAAATTCGAAGCGCTCGCTCACTGAATGGATTCTGCAATAGAGGTGCATCATTAATTTTTCAGCCTCTTCTATTCCGCACAAGCTCTGGTTAGCTGTTTCTTGAGTTATAAAAAAGCAAAATGTGATGCGAAATTTGTTACTAATACATTCACAAGCTAGTGGCTCACACATAAGTGTCTTAATTGTTCCATAGTTCAGAAATTGCATCTAACAGTGCATACATTTGATTTATTCGCAATCTACTGGAGAAATTGTCCTTAGCCCAAGTACAAGACATGCCTCATACGTAAAAAAAAACGTACTGGACCAATATTCACCCGTACGTGGCAGACTAAGAACATGATGTAGGGGGATATGCAAAAACTTAGCGTAGAAAGTTTGATGTGCAAAATGGGCGTCTGTAGTGTAACGGATGAGCACGGGCTCCCGAAAAGAGTGAGATGCGGGTTCTAGTCTCGCCTGACGCGAATGTTTTACACGTTACTCTTCATCAATGTGTATATTCAAAACATCAACCACCGCCAGAAGCGATTAAATAAAAGTGGATTTTATAAGAACTAATTGTTGAAAGCTCATGAATTACTTCTTTAACAACGTTGAAGTCACGGCGAACAGATTTTCCTGATGGTGGTGATACGAGTCAAGAAACTGCGATTATAGCAACAAAATGACTGTTGCTATCAGACCACCAGCTTGATTACGCCTAGTACGGCTGAAAATGAAACAAGATGGTCTCATTAACCGCTTGGGAACCATATGGGTCATATTGTACCATGATTCATTCGCGCACCAGAGTGTCTACGGCGCACGCATAAGAAGTGGAAAATGAGGGAACATTACTTGGTAAATTAGGCTTCCAAACAAGCATTATCACCATCTAGTGGTAAAATATCACTAAAGAGAATCTTGCAAAGGTTTGCATGTGCTGTTCAGTTGAAAGAATGCCATTTGTCATTTTTTTTTTCAACAAGAGAGACCACACCGCAAAAATGAACACATTCCCAACCGTTATTCAACATTTGTTTCTTTCTTATCAATGTTTTTATAGTTGCTCGATAGCTTGTAAATGCCTATGTTAGGTATGCTTGGTCTGTGGTTCGACCTTCATACTAGGTTAACCTGATCAATAAAGTAAAAGGTCCTGCAATCTCAGTTCATTTTTTGGACTTCAAGGCGGATTTTTTGATGTTATATAGTGATATTCTAAATCGAATTGAATAGAATATTACTGGAGATCAAAAGAAAATCTATTCCTAGTGGGAAGAAAGCCTGGGTTCATTGAAAAATCCACAATTAATTATGAACTGAGTGGAATTCAGTCGCATCGTGTGGAATGTGATCGCATTTCTTCCTTTTTCAGTAAGCAGAGATTTTCACTAGGCTATTAGTAATCATATATACCTAAGAGAATTGAGTGGTGAGCAAAAACACGGCCTCAGGCGGGAATCGAACCCGAAAAAAGCTCAAAATTCATCGGCACGAAAAAATTGTTTATTACTGGAGAAAACTCTACAAGCGAAAATTCATTGAAAGGATGCTCACGCTCCAGAAATTTCACTTTCCAAAACTGCTGCATACACGGAAAATCCTCTTAGCTGTTTTTTCTCCATTTGCCTCGAAGACTTTGCAAACGTGAATCTAAAAAGCCCTTTTTTGCACTCACGTCACCAAAATATCCACATATTTTTTTTCGATGTCGTGCTATTTCGCTGAAAACATCTATTGAACGGTCAATAATTTAGTCAAAACATATAAAAAAACCCTCCATTCTGAATGTTTATACTCGTTTTCATAGCACTATCTATAGTTTTCGTCCATCCACCTATCTTCTATTCGTTACAGATATTTGCCTACCCTCCAATCAGTTCGTAATGATTGGTCTGGGACAGTTCATACAAGTTGGCCAGCTCCTTGCATATGAGCACCAGGTCGTTTTGAGCACCTGCTAGTCTTTATCAAAGGATAAGGTTTTGGGTGGAGAGCTTTACTTGACTCAGTATCTGTGACAAATGTATTGTCTTCCATGCTGTCATCAACTTCATCGCTGATCTCCCTTTGCTACGGTTTGCGAACATGCTATGAAGAAGATGAATTACTCACATTGGTATGGAGCTACGACATTTATTGAAGGCGATGGCAGATCAGGACTCCCATGTAGTTATGAGCAGCTGCAACCGGCTACAGATGGTACTATTGAAATTATTCTGGAGAGCTTGGTACCGTACAAAGTACAATAGTTTGTTTTGAGACCAATTAACTAAAAATGAATGCATAGAACACCAGAATCAGCGCCCGTGCACAGTGACAAATGCTGCACTGATAAATGATGTTCATAGCGCAATACAATATGATAAAATACAGCTCTCAAAGGACAAAGGTCGAAGCTCTCGGCGTACATCAATCTCTGAGGGATGCGCCATTATTCGTCTTCGTGAAGGAAACAGGTCTTGATCTTTCTGCAATACGCCAAGCTAGGCTAGTGAAAAATTCTCGCGGTAGAAGATCCTTGCGAGAGAATTCACGTTGGTATAAACAAAAAAAAAGCTCTTGGAAAACGTGCAAACGACATAGGTGCCGAGATGGGATCTTTACTACATCAAGCCATAAAATAAATTATTTGCAGAAATGTCTATGTCAATCTTTTCCACTCCACATCCCTCGTCGCGGACTTTGAAATCCCCACTGTTGAGAAGTCCCTGAGATTCTCGACTCCAAGTTCGAGTTGCGATTGAAAGCATGAAGAAAGGCATAGTTTCGGACCGAGTGTGAGTCCGCCGATTTCATTAGAGCGGGCAGTCACAATCTATATGCACTTCTTGCAAGACATGTTGCATTATACCTTTAGACAGGAAAAATCCCAAATGGAGACTTTCGCTCATAGTCATCCTACCTAAGAAGAGTGATAAAAGTTTAATAGTTTAGCGTTTTTACTCTACAAACTTTACACGATGATCATCCTCTTGCGCATATTGAAGGATGGGGCACAGACACTTGAAGAGGCGTCAAAAAAGAAAAAAATCGGTCCTATAAATTGTTCCTCTTGGTAGAATTAGGTAATGACTTGATCTTTAGAGACTAATCAACGAACGAAAATCTGTAATTGTTGACTTATAGAGTCAACAAAAAACTTTATAAGTCAGCAACTATAGGTTTTTGTCGTTGATTAGCCTCTAAAGATCAAGTCATTACCTAGCTTTATCAAGAGGAAAAATGAAGTGGATGGTCTAGGTAACCGGCAGTCAGTTTCTAGAGGACGAAACTATTTGTTGGGAAACTTGTTCCACTTCCTGCTCCACCAAATGAAGAGAAAACCTAAAAACGGTAAAAAGACAAATATGTGGCTCAGTAGTACCGGATTTTTGACTATTAAAGATTATTAACGCAGATAAATCTACGAGAACCCGGCGAAATGCCGTGTGTACGCGTGAAAATCAAAGATTTTTCGTTGCGAGAATGTTAGCCACTCAGTTGCTCTCTCTATGATGAACCTTCTTGCAGTTTAGCTGCTTGGAGGCATGACGGTCTAATAATCGTTGCAATGGAAATTATTAAGAGGAAACAGACACGAGGTTTGCCTACGACTGCACATACTGAACAAATTTCTTGTATGAGCCAAGGTAAATTCTAAAATTAGCATTTGATTTGTGACGATTGATATTATGACTAGCTAGCAAACTGCAAAGTCTTTCTTTGCAACCGAAAAGGGCACTTATTGCATTTCTCAATGAAAACACAGCAGATGTTTCCGGAGTAAATGCTAGTTCTCAGCTTTCCATCATAGATAAGAGATCTGGCATTTTGAGTACATCAAATAATCAGTTATCAACAACCGTAAAGGCAAGCTGCTGCCCTTATCTTGCCTTATCTTGTCGCCTTATGAGCTTAGAAGTTTCCTAACATCATGGGGAAAGCAACGACTTGCTCAGAACAGATAGCATTCCTTGTGTATTGCTTAATACAACCGTCAAGCAATGAACTTGTCATGGCTCGGTTTCTTATTCGACATCGCGTTTACAGTTCACTTGGCAGAAAGTGAAGATCCGGAGTGTAAAATGACCGCTGTGAGCTTTTTACATATTCGATTCGATTTCGAATGTTCTTATGGTATAGGCATCTTCATCTACAATACCTCCTACTATTATCCTCTATTGCTTGTTATCTTTACATTTGACTAAAATTGATTTATTATTAGTAAAGCAACAAACGCTCTGTAAGTTCTTTTCTAACTTTTTTTGACTAATGTAAAGGTCATAAAATAAGCAAATATTGATCTTGTTCATCTTTAGCCAGAGCTAATCAAACACTGGGGGTATCCTGTTGAAGTCTACACGGCTACCACCAAAGACGGTTACATCCTGGAATTGCACAGAATTCCATATGGAAAAAGTCCCACTCAGCTCCGCACATCGTCAGATTCACGACCAGTCGTTTTTATGCAACACGGACTTGAATGCAGTAGCGCCAATTGGGTAGCAAACTTACCCAATCAAAGCGCTGGTAAGTCTCCTTTGATAACAGACAATCAGTTTGATGTGAATTCCGGCGGTAAAGATGTCGTAAAAGCAGATCTGATTCATTATCGCAACTGGGTGCAAAAAGTAACAAGAAAAAAGAATTATATGTTGAGGAACGAAATGAGAATTCATAGGATTCATGTTTGCCGATGCCGGATTCGATGTGTGGCTTGGAAACATGAGAGGAAACACATATAGCAGAAAGCACGTCAATCTGAGTACGACGGATAGAAAATTTTGGAAATGGACGTTAGTATTTTGTATAACTTTGACATAGTATAACAAATGGTATGAAGAAATGTCTATCAAAATTGACCAGAAATGCAAAGATGACGCACTGACAGGGGTAATTTTGTGTGATAACTGTATAAAAATTGAGGTATTTCAGCCAATGTCTAAGCTTTGCTGTTCCACTTTTGTAATTTGACGGGTGACTGCTGATAGTATCAGTAAAGAAAATTATGGTAAAGAGAAGGACAAAAGAAGGGCATCGGTTGGTGCGATTTATAACCCGAGAGCTCTCTGGAAGCTTATCTAAGGATCCGAGTTTTGATTATTTTTCACCATCTGTGCAGTTATCCTTCACATCATGCTCTGCCATAAAAAAGGATGAGTAATTAATAGAAGCCGAAAAATTATGGACTGCCTCTTAAGCAAGATAAGATATAACGACTGACTATGCTTCTCGGATGATTCTTGTGTAGGTGATCTCTGGTAGTGCTATAAAGTAAAAACGTGGTTGAGAGGAAGAGAAAACAGGGCTTTTGGCTTTCATCAATAGTAACTCGTAAACTTTGATAATGGTACTCGTGTATTGGAAGTTCACCCAAGATTCCGAGTCTTGCTAACATCTCACATTCTTCTGGCTGTGTTTCACATCTAATCATCTCACGAAAAATTAGACGGCAGAAAAAACTTGAGGCTTTGTGAGTTATTTCAATATTTGTGCAATA